ACTGGGCTGCCGTGCGGATGGACGTGAGTCCCTGTTCCCTCAACAGACTATTCAGTTCTCTGGCAATAGATTCCCACACAGCTGAATTTTGCCTTTTGCTAATTGGATGGTGATCCTTCCAGGTTTCGATAAGAAAACGTATTTCTGCATCCGACCAGTTGGGGGAGCGACCTTTGGTACTGGTATCATTGCTGGAATTTTCAACCCTGGGGCCTTCACTTACACCACTTACACTGGCACTCTGGTATGGGCTCATTTGTGATTCAGCCGGCGAGGCTGGTCGCGAAAATCTTGCTTGTGGAAGCCACAGTTGATTTTGGAAGGCCGGAAAAATATATGGACCACGTGCGGGAACGGGGTCGGCAAAGTGATCGCTCACAGGAGGAATAACGAAGCGACGAGATTCCCTAAAGCGTATAATTTGCTACGTTAGCTGAATGCTTTACATCTCGAATGTTTAAAGGACGCGAAAGAAACTCACCTTGCATGGCTTGATAGTGCATCATTTGATGGGTCGCTTCTTGGATCATAAAAAGGAAAAGTATTCGCTCTATGATTATCCATGTTGTTTTGAATGCCGCAGAAGTTTCACGCAGGAATGAATCAAAAATAGCAGGCGTGTTGTATTTCCGATTTGACAGCCCTGTCAAGTTAATAACCACAAACGACTCCTAATTGGCCGAAATTAATTACCAACTCGCTTAAGCTACCTGGTTTAGTGGCTTAAATTTAATGAGAATTCCATTGAAGTTTGCCGACTCGCTTAACTGATAGACTCAACTTTAAGCGGGTTGAAAAAACAACTGTTTTCACGGGACTTCCGCTTGTCACTCGCTGAGCGACCTGAAAAACCGCTCGTGAAAACACAGTCAGGGGCACCCAACGACAATTTTCGGAAGAATACCTGTTCGGAAGACGATTTGAGATCTAGAATTTTCGAAACATTTATTGTAAAATTTCTTGCTTGCCTGTCTCTCCTAGGATTTTCGAACATCTAAAAAATGGTATAATTGCCTATTTTTAACGGATTTTTACCCTAATAAGGTCACCTAGAATTTTCGGGAGCCTTTTTTCTGGCTGAAATTTTCGAAAAGGTAAGTTTTGATCCCTATAATTTTCGGATCACTAGACTTTCAGCTAGGAAATCCGAACAGATGAAAAATTTTTAGGGAATAAAAATATGCCTATATCTACCGTTTAAATACTAAAATACGTTTAACAATGCTATGTTTAAGTGGTTTTGAACTATATTCTCGTTGGGTGCCCCTGACAACATCAAACCGTATAGAAGCACATAATATACGCGCCAGACACTTCCACATTGGACAAACCAGAACGTGTTCCCTTCGCTATCACCTACAACCCAGTCATTCTTCGTTCCATTTCCTCCATCATTCGCAAACACTTTCACATCTTAATTTCATCCCTCCCGTTGCCGTAACGTCTTTAAGCTTTTTGCGCTCAAACTAACTTCTCTCATTTAGAATTCGTTCACTTGATATTTGCTATAGAAAATGGCATTTTGTTTATCTTTACATTGAGTGTGATATCATTCAAAGGGGATTGATTCATCTTAAACAAAATCAACAACAGCACTAATTATATTAAATGGAACCACACATTTACACACATGTGAAATATTCGCGTGAACCCAACTACTCAACAGACTCAAACGCAACGCCGACACAAGAAAGTCCCCATGCCTTTTTAATCTCCTCCTTGGTCGGCAAGCTTGTTTGCCTGAACGATTGCCCGCAAAGGAAAATGAATGTTGAGAAAGAAAACACGCTTAATACGCCCCACTAGCTCTGCTCTGTTTTTATGTCGGGAAAATTAGACATCAACGATTTGCTATGGAAAACGAGAACCAGATTCAGTTCTTTCCGGCCAACTTCAAATGCCCGGAAACTCTACAAAACTACATGAATACTTAAAACCATATTTTTGCTATACTGAACCCAACAAACTATTCAAATGCAATCAATGCATCACTTGAAAGCTTAAGTGTTGGTAGTTAATCTCCCCAATCCAGCCAATCCACAAAAATTATACAAAAAAATTGTTTGAATGCAGTTTAGGAACCACGCTCCAGTTGATGACATTTTGTGTCCTATCTGACTTGGTGTATTTTCCGTCCTATATGCTGTGGGCTGTCTTCATCACGAAATATGGCTTGAGCTTTGCGAAGGAGACCAAAACGCATTTTTTATGGAACAGGAAGTTCTACTATGGATCGTATAATCTGCCAGTATTGTAAGCCCTTATTCCTATGGAGTATGATGATTACGTTTGATCGCTTGTGAAAAGATATCCGAGTTGTAACTTTTTTCCAGTGCACTCTTTAAGTTGAATTTCCACTGTCGCATAAATTTTACGTAAGTAAATAAAGTGGAGGCAATATATGGAAGGTCGCGCTTAAGTGTCAAGGTTGAACGAGCAGTGGAAATCCACGCTTAAAGCAGTAAAAATTATCTCACCTTAATGCAAGATCTCCGCAGCCAGGCTGTTGCTACTTCGCCAATAAGGAGAAAGAAACACGCAGGCCACCAGCTCGGAGAAAAGCAGGAGAAAAAAGTAACAAGCAAAGCAACGGACCAGCAACTATAACTAGAATTCAGTGGAGGACGCCATCGTTTATGAAAATCCTACTCCAGCATGACTACGGGGCCAAAGATCTGGCTTGAAAGATTTGGTTTCTCTTAACTGTCACGTGCTTCTTTTTTAAGAGGTTCTTTGTTTGTGTGCAGGTCCCAGATTTCCTTTTCAATACTTTCGTTAATTACGAAAACTTATCCCTGACTTATGCCCTCTACCTCTAAAAAAATAGTTTTTAAGGATGGTAGACTTTAATTGGATGAGATACGTTCCACGCTGTGTTTTTGGTAGAAGATGCGCTCAGTGCAAACAGCAAGGGAAACAAGTTTCACGTCGCCGTCTTGTAAATGACTCTTTATTTTACTCATGTAATTGCCGTTTTGTTTATTTTTTACAAATCTGGTAAAGTTTTCACAAGGCATTAAAGATGTGGCTCATCAGGGGTCAGGAAATTCTAGAAAGTAAACCATCCATCACGCTATTTTGTTTTCCTTTTTATTGTAGATATTTTGAGTTAGGACAGGAGCCTAAAGTGTCCTCATGCTCTATTTCCCTCCTTTTTCCTCCCGTTTGAATACCTGCTACCAAAGTGTTTCTTTTAAATGGGAAGAGCGCAAAGGCTTTTCTGATTCGTTTGACGGTGGTCAGATGAAGCAAATCGTGATTGATCAGGGGAAACGGATGGATTAATTAGGCTACAGAAGCTCGGAAAACAGCAATTGCCACCAAAGAGAGGTCATAAGTTCCGGGCTCCTTGCCCTACAGGGTTTTTAATTCGATGTTTTTCTTTTAACACCAAAACGATTTCTGTAAGAAATACGCCACGGGTTTGATTTCAGGTCTCCTTTTTTTCCGGGATAGCAGAACGAGCTACACACGCGTGGGCGAGTGGAAAAAGAATAGACTATCACCCTCAAGGAAGCAAAAGGCGCGGTGGAAGAGGCGATGTTCCGCGCGTTCGTACATATTTTTTTAAAGCGATGTCCACGCTATCCTCTTTGAAAAACCTGACCCGAAAACTAGAGGTAACCGATGAAAATCGACCAACGGCGAGGCAATTACAAGCAAACGTGGGCTTTTTCAATAACGATCTGATGACAGCCTGCTCCAGGTCTCCCCTTTCACTCCTCCCTCTTCCGCTTTTTTTTTGTTGTTGTTACCCACCAGATTATTCCGCGCCATTCTTCACTATCTAAGCCTCTGGTGCAGGCTAGCACCTTTACGAAACTGTATCACCCCTGGATTTACTTTAATGATACAGTACAAAGACTTTCTTATAAGAAATAAAATTATTAGTGTTCTATAAAAGGAACTACCCCATAGGGGTCATTTTATACTTGCTCTTCCGAGAGAGTTTGACGCAACTGTAGCTGAGCGTGTGCATTGCAGACCTGTTACTAGGTTTAACTGTTTTTTCCTGATTGAATATCGAGGAAGGGAAAAAATTTAAGTGCACCATATTAACCCTCTAAATCCCAAGAGTTGATCAACATCAATTTTCTCCAGCTATATCAATTCATCATCACGATAAAAGCCGTTATGAGAGTTTATAAGACGATCACATTATAAAATTCTCTCAACTAATTCTTCAAGGAAATGTATGGAGATCAGTGGGGAGAATTTGTATGTGGATACAGCGGCTTAAAGGGTTAAGCATGCACCTTTCGTGTGGTCTTGAAATGATGGTTTCAGTAAGTATTAGTTACTAGACTTGCCCCAAGTCGACTGGGTGAGTGAGCGCCGAAGCACATGCACAATGCGTGCGCAGCAAGTACAAAATGAAAAATTAATCACTAAGCTAAAAATTCTACAAAACAGTTTCTTTTTCTACCACGAGCAGATTTGCTAAAAAGGACGACTCGGAGTCGATTTCGATCGCCTTTCGTGAGAACTTCTTCTTGAGACATAGACAAATTCCAAAAATCAAGAGCCCCAAAACCTCAAGTCCACTAGCAAACATAAAAGCCGGGTGATAAGAGCTTGTCTTTTCTGCGATCAAACCTGAGAATCAGAAAATATGAGAAGCATCAATAGTAATCTTGAACAGTCTTAAAATGACAGCAAATTTTAGATATTAAGGAGGCAGATAAGGTTTTACATAAAATATCAAATTCGTCAACTTTTTGCCCATCGAAACACTAAATGACATCTCCTTTGTACTATCAGTCCCAACCTACGCGTCAAGCCCTGTTTACAGATGGCAGGTATCGAGAACGAGATCCATCCGTCAAGGTTTGCACCAAAATCAAACTTGACTGTGCGTATGAAATCCAAGAACCTCTGGCGTTCAGCTCAGACGTTTCTTTTTGGTACAAGGAACTGTTACCGACAGCCTAGTACTCAGATTTTCAGAAACTTCTATCCATTCGTCAATTTAGGCGCAATGGATGGCGGAAACGAGAATTTAGGCCTATGATTTGCGTCGCCTCGAACCTACCCACGATCAGACGTTCTTTTGGCGAACTGATGGAACACCTGTTCGTCAAAATCAAAGATCACTTCCCATTAAAACAAAAAACAGGGTTCTTCAGTTCCACCGCTTTACGTTTTCCTTACAATTCTTTGTTTCTTGGCGGCTGATGTTCCATAGGTCAGCTACACCAAGGGTTACGATTACTTCGCAAAAAATAGCAGTGCTTGGTGCGCGATGATCTGGCTTACAACATCTTAACTTGCCATTCTGGGCCAGTTTCTTGCGCTTGGAAAAAGAACCACTTTGCCGCCCCTATGCCTTTCTAAGTAAAGGACTGGGACAGTCAATTTCTGATCAAATACCAACCTGGGGCCCCGGAAATCTGAGTGGCTCTTTCATATACGAGCTACCACGGGTTGGTAAATGACCCGTAAAGGAAATGTGTCATCAGGCGTTCTTTTAATTCTCCCCACTTCCTTTACTGTTTGGTACTCCCAAATAGCCTGTGTAGCAGTAGGGGATGGGGAGAAACGGAAAAAGGGGCGGGGGGGCGGGGGATTTGGGCGCCTGCCACACAGGCTACTCCCAAAGGAACGCCTGGTCACATGGAACGTCGTCTTACCCAAGTACAGGTTGGTATTATGATCCATTGAAAATAATTTAGCTCTCACGGTAGCTTACCTCCAATTGGTGGTCCACATAGATAGGCAGAACAGATGAAGAATTGATAAAAACCAAAGCCTTGGGCTTTTTGCTTAGGTGTAAGTGCCTGAAAGCATGACAGAATCCCTCCGATTGCCATCATTCCATCAGCAAGGCCGTAAACTGATGCGTAACAGATAAATCGGATCAAAGTAGTTGCCAAAGGTAACACCAGAGCAGATAATGCACTGAGAATTGCAAACATGAAAAATACTCTCTGTGGACTGATGACTTCACAAAGCTTAGAGCCCGGTAACCTGGCTAGAAGTGATACCAGTCCAATGCACATGTAAAGCCAAACTACCCTGTCCTCTTCAATACCAAGATCTTCACAATATTTTGCCTTGGAGAAATATAAGGGAAATATTAGAGTGCAGATTAGAGTAATTGGATGAGGGTTCTCTTAGGCCCATGAACCGAACATGAACGAACTTTTATACTTATTTGGGTCGACCCAAATGATACAACATGTTTACCGCTCAAAATGAATTAAAGTATTGATAATTACTTATGCATTAGATTTAAGACATAAAAAGCTCGACGATTGAAACGAAGTCGGGTCCAAGTTAGTTCATGGGTTCACTCAACAACGAACAACGAAAACAATCTTTATTAGCGCCCTTGATAGACAAATACGTATAGAAAAAGCATAGTAATTTAATATTTAGTATTTAAAGATAAAAAGAGCACAGTCACTTAGACAGACACTAGCCCAGCTAAGTGGCCGAGCCAAGCGAAGAAAACACAACACCTCCTCCATTCTATATAGTGTTAAACTGTCTAAATCTTTAACAGTTAAGCATAAACATAAGCGGCCTTAGATTAGTGTACACGAAGCGATCACTCTTAAAAGCGACAAACTTTATGAAACCCTGTATGAACTGTGACCAAGAAAGGACCTTTATCCCCTTTTGCTGTGACTTAAACTCTGTAAAGAAATGCTGTCTTAGCAAAGGTGACCACTCTTGTGAACTACCGGCCGGTGTTTTACCCTAATCGTTTCTAAGGTGGCTAATTTGGGCGCGTGTTATTTTCGCTTTTCTTCATGTTTTATTTTTCGCGACCGTGAAAGCTTGGCACAGTTTGAGAGTACTTTTCCGGCAAGAAGAAAGAAATTGCTGCTGCCAAGCAAAGGCATTATGTTACAATAAAAGCATCAAGAGTTAAAGTCAAAGTATGCTTACCAAATGAAGTGGTACCACGTAATGTCCAATATAGATAACACAATGCGAAAGTGTGAGGATTGCAAAACTTTTATTTTTCCACATTGACAAATCCAGTATTTTTTTCTTGTGTTTGTCATTGGATTCTTTACCGTGCTCAACTACCGTATGAGCTTCATCACTCGCCACGTTAGGATCAATGAGCCAGCTTATAAAGAAAACTATAAAAACTAAGCAACCCAGTCCGCCAAACGTCCCTCTCCAACCAAATGCCCTTAACAAAGCCTCGCATACTGGAGTCATCACCACCAAAGCACCTCCAGTGCTCATAGCAATAATTCCGGTTGCCATGGAGCGATATTTCACAAAATATCGGGGAACTATCTCGAAAACGGCAATGAAAACTAAGCTAAAACCAAACCCGAAAATTCCACCATACGTAAGGAACATTAGAAATAAACTCGGAACTAAAGATGTCAATAGAAGACCACTTGCGCTCAAGAGCGAGCCACTGGCGACAACAATACGGGCACCAAAGTGATTTGTCAATCTCCCGGATAAAGGACCGAAAAGACCGCAACCTGACATCGCAATTGAGCCGACCCATGCTGCAAAAGAAAAAGACATCCCTCTTATTAACCAAGTTTTGGGGTAGATACTGGAAGATATGGACCGTTTGGTAGTGTGTGCTTCCTTCCTGTTTTGGTTTCGATTTTTTTCTGCTCGGAATTATTGGCCCAAGGGAAACGTGCAGCCTTTAAGTCCTACAGGGAAAACCAGGTTTTTTGTAACTTACAGCACGGACCGAGTAATCAGAATGTTCTATTATATAGTTGGGATTCAATTAAGTAAATGAGAAAAGATTTCCATTGCGAATAAACAAGCGTCAAATTCTTTTTGATTGGCTTTTTGAATAGTTGTGTTTTCATTCGTCAAATATACCTCGTAACAAGCTCACTGTCAAAACATGAAAGAAACAGTTATAGAAAGTTTTTTATCGGTAACAAATCAAACATTAGACGCAGTGTTTCATCTCTGAGAAGAGAGTCGAAAATACGACGCGCAGCGGAGTATTTTCGACGAACTTCGCGTGTTCCTTCACCAGATGAAACACTTTGTCGAACGCTTGATAGTACTTTTCAAACAAAAGGATTTTACCAGCAGAAATTAAGGGTGCAAAAATGAACAGTTTTTCATCTGATTTCCAAACACTCATTAAACATTAATTTCCTTGGTATTTTCTTTATGAATTATTGATGAGTATTGAGAATCACAAATTATCGACCAAACCAAACTTCTGAATTTGACCGATCACAGCGCGCATATTAACTGTGAGATCCGACCTTCGCTGGAAACGTTGTTTTCTGCCTGTCGCCGCCATTTCATCGCCACCAATTTCTATTAATTTACCTCCTTCTCAACCATTATACTTCTACTGTTTGTCATTCACCACCGCAACATCTCTCTTTAGGGACTTTTAGCACCGACGGTTTTCAAGACGGCTACGGGAACCGGAAATGAAGTCAGACTCTTTTTCGCGCGCGCGAGTGTCACCCTCGGTTTCTTGCCGCCGTAGCGGCCTTCCCTAGTACGGCAAACCGAGTAGTTTGACGTACTGGCGACTACGGGAGTTTTAGGTGAGTATTTTTTAACCTTTTACTTGACTTTTATTGTTTTCATTTGAAAAACAACTTCTTATTCCTTTTCTTCATAAATTTAGACCAGTTTTCTTTAGAATTGGTTTGATATTTTTGCTTTATTTACGCTTTTTTCACAGGTGTGGATGACACATGTCAGTCGAAAAGCATCTCAAGTGAGCTTATTTTTGTACATGATTTTGCTTGTCCTTTCCGTTTTCATTTTGATATATAACGCTAATACTGTTTATCTAAATTGTTTCTTAACGTTTGGACGTGGGCTTTTCTTTCAAGTTTTTATCTGTTGTTATGTTTCAGTCACCGAATATATATCTTTTTTATAACTAGACAAACCATGCCTTTTTTGCCTATGGCTGCTTTAATTTTGATATATAATGATGTTCAGCTTCCGGTCGGGCATCAAAATAAAAGGCGAGAAGCATTTAAACGTGTTCATATGAGTTGCTAGACGTGATAACGGGCTGTATATTCTTTGCATGTCGTCGAGATCAAAAAGTTTGTACTGCTCGTGAGGAAAATCTAAGTTAGTTGACCTATTCACATCATACAGGAGTAGAAACTCCTCTTCTGTAATTAACCTTTCATCTAATGCATGCAGCATAGAGCAACTGTTCTCGAGCCTTCTTTAGGGACATTTTTCCCTAAACATCTAGTTTTGTGTCCGAGTCTCTACGACTATTTCGTTCACGCCGTACTCAGGGATTGTTTTGGTTGCTAAACTATATTTATTTTCGCGGGCTTTTGCGCGGACGGGGCCTTGTATCCCCAGTCCCCGCGCGATCTAGTTCGCCGTAGCCGTCCTGAAAACCGTCGGTGCTAAAAGTCCCTTTTTTTTTTATCGCCTACTGCTCAACCACAATCCTTTTTTCCCACCTCCACTACCAGTCTGTCGTTCTGCATCGACCACTGAGCGCTGATCCCCGATTGTTCCAAACTTCAGAGTGTTTAAAATATGAGGAGATTGCGCTATCTTTGCTCTGAAATCTGCAACTGTTTGGACATCTTAGTCTTACTGACACTTGAGGGACAAAAAAATAGCCACTAACGATCTTTAGTACATACACACTCAGGGATCTTGGTGATTTAAGCAATCTGATTGGTTAGCTACCTCGGACTATTCAACAATATTCATGTGTGAGCTCGGTGTTTTTCCCATTTTTTAGAGAACGATCTTTTAAAAGTCGACATCCTAGGGCTGACTTTTTCTAAGGCAAGAAAAGACTTGGAAGGATTCAATACGGCGTTTTTCAATTTACTGTAGCTGAGTTTTGTTCTCGATGGATTGTTTGCAACCGACCCGTGTATTCGCGTAGAAAAAGCCGTTTCGTGAACTCAGTTCTAACAAGAAAATTTGTTTATTTATTTAAGTTTATTTATGACAAACAAATTTAAAAGGAAATGTTTGCAGAAATTCTACGTTTCAAGTAAACAGGAAAAAGAATGATAGATGAAGACCACGTCTTACCTCGAGCAACCGAGCCGCCATTTTTGTCAGCACTTCATGCGAAGAACGACACAACAAACCCTTTTAGCTATAAACTTGGCGAGTCAACAGAAAACAGCAAAGCTCTACTTTTGTTCTCAGGTAAGGAAACAGTTCAAACTCAAGTTTAGCGGTCCCATTTAAGCCATTACGCTGTTGTTTGCGAAATGATAAACTTGTGAATTGCCATGTTTGAAAATTCTGCAAAGATCTATTTTGTAACTTACGCGTGATTTGATATGTCAATCAAATCGTACTTTTTAATGGTTTCCTCTCTGATTTTGTTGAGATCACTTCGTGTGTATATACTAAAACAATTATTCTTTTCAATCTCGGTGAATAGTGGCTGTGGGAATATTTAGCCACTATGCACCTCGATTTCAAAGAATAATTGTTAAATATGACAATGACATGGGTAGTTCTTGCCCATGGTCTTGCCACCGCCTGGTAAAGCCGATTAAAGGAGGTTTTTTGCTGCAAAATCTCTCTGGAAACAAAAAGGTCCGAGGGATTAGAGGCTACTACTATATACCTACCAGTGTTTGACTTTCCTCTTTCAAACTCGTCAAGAAGGTGGGGAAATATCAAACCAAAGCAAAATGCAGATCCCTGCACTATGATGATAGAAGTGAAGCCAACTGCGCACACAATCCAAGACCAGTAAGAGTCTGGCTGTCGTGATTTCTTCTCGCTTAATTTGTCCTTGTTGGCTGTATCCAGAGCCTCCACACATTGAAGAATGATGTTCTCGGTGGTGGCTTTTTTTGACATTTTGAGCTGTTAACAAAAACAACGTCTTCCTTAGTCAATAAACTAAAGAAACCTTATGTCTGTAATTATTGATTTATTTTTTGTTCCCCTGATTCCTAGCTTTTAACTTCAAATTGGCAAAAACTCGAGCCCCTGTTTTACGAGCCTCATCCGAAGGCTAGCGCATCCTACTGAAACGGCTGTAATGTGCCCCTTAACATGCATATGCTGACGTCCGATTTCACGTGTCTCGTTCCTCCTCAATGCAGCCACTGGCTACAAGAGAGTAAAACCTGGCACCGTTTCCTACCTTCCTTCCTTCCCTGTTCAAGCGTGATAAGCGCGCGCACATAACAACATGGCGGCTTTTTCATGAAGGCTGGAGCTCCCCATAGAGGTAAATCTTCATTTTCTCTTAAAAGAGTACGGTGACCTATCATGTTTTTTTTCTCTTTATTAAAAGTGGGTTTTAACTTTTTTCTTTAGAATAAATATAGACTAATTCCCAATAACTGTTTAAAATATGTACTCGTAAATATTATCATATACAGGTATTTTAAGGAATCATTGCGGGATCGTAATTTGCTCCTGCTCCCAAACGCGTATGGGGACCCTCGATTTAAGTTTCTACGACATAAACAACCAACCGGTTAAGTCTAACAAAAATCTCACTGGAGGTTCTTTTTCAGAGGAATGACCCTAAAAACGATAACTCACTAATAACGATAGGGTATTGCTAAAAAAACAACCAAACGAAGAAGAGGTCTTATAAACCAAGTCAAAGTCTAAGTTTAAAGGACCGGTTTAATAATTTAAGGGACTCCAAATCTCTTGTAAGGTGTTTATTTCATGTATGTGTAAATCCCAGGCCCGAAATGTACGCTGCATTGTTTCGGGTGCAAATGGAGAATTCTAGCAAAAAATAATGCTTGATAAAAAAAAGGAATGCGACAAGTTTACTCCTTCCTCTTTTAGCTCCTTTAAATTGCGTAGTTCAAAATGGAACTTACATTGCGTCCCATGGTGATTAAACTCAACCAACAGAGGTTATGGGAACTTGAAGTTTCTTGGCAATATCGTATGAAGAGTCTCCAAACGGGCTAAAATGTACACTGCAATTTGTGTTTTTTTGAATAAGAAAATAGGATATGAGTCACGAGGACTGGCAAACTGTGAATGAAACCTTTGGATATGAAAACAGCTTTTACCTTGGAATTCCCCCCCCCCCAAAAAAAAAAAACCGCTCCCATCCGCACCCCCAATCTACGCCTCTTCCGGGACTCTCCACAACGGCAGCGAGGGATACTAGGGGAATGGCGAAGCGAAACAATTAGAGAATAAGGGTCTCCCTTCCCCACTACCTCTTTTAAATCTTGTTAATGTCTCCCCCGGACAAGGATGGCCTGATACACGCGTTGTTTATCACCTGGCGGGCGAGAGTTACTGGCCTTTGATACTTATCAAATATCAATTTACCATCTGGCATTTTAGAAAGGAAATACATGCCGCACAAAGAATTACATTGAAGGTATCGTAAAGGCCAAGGTGATTTCTGCAAACATTTTGCATGCTCCGCCCGTGATCAATGTCCAGCCTTGGTTAAAAAAGAGCAAGATAGATAGCAATTGACCGTCGCATAAATCTGGGAGGCGTTTTAAAAAATAAAAACAGAACAAACAAAACAAAAAACGCTTCCGATTCTTCCGCCTTGTCCCCGATCCCATTAGACGATCCTA